AGGGCATGCCGTGGGCTCGGGGCTTCGTGCCAGCCTCCCTCACCTGAGCCCCCACCCGCTCCGGCAGCTGGCAGCCACCTGCAACGTGGAGTCCTCACTCTTCATCGACTGGTTCAGCGGGCACCTCAACTTCCAGATCGAGCACCAGTGAGCGCGGCACAGGGCCCCGCGGGGTGGGCGTGAGTCTTCCCACGGGCGGTCTGGGCTCCCTGGGGCCCGGGAGGGTGGTGAGCAGGGCCTGGGGTGGGGGGGGTGGTGGTCCCTCTGGCACTTCCCACCTCAGGTGCCAGCACATGCCCTCCCCCCCCAGTCTCTTCCCCACGATGCCCAGGCACAACTACCACAGGATCGCGCCGCTGGTCAAGGCGCTGTGTGCCAAGCACGGCCTCACGTACGAGGTGAAGCCCTTCCTCACCGCCCTGGTGGACATCGTCAGGTAAGGGCTCCTGGTGGCTCCCTGTCCGCCTGGTCCCCACAGCCCCTCTCTGAGCCCCCCAGGCCCTCTGGGAGCTGACCTGTGAGGCCTTTCCCATCAGCCTTTCCGTCCTCAGCCTGCGGCCTCCCTTCCCAGCCTTCACTCCCAGGCCCCCTGCCCTGGGCCCAGGCCCTGACCGAGGCTCCAGATCCCTGGCTTCTAGGCCTGCCATCCCAGCAGGGGGCCCAGAAAGCAAGCGCCTACAATAAGTGAATTACAGAAAACGCGAGGGAGGGAGTGGTGCTTTGGCAAAAAAAAACGAGACTACAAAACCCATGGGTGGAGGCAGGAGAGGGGCGGGAGCGCCAGGCGCCAGGGGCAGGGGGCTGGCATTGAGGCAACAAGTGAGCAGACAGGCAGGAGGGGAGAGGGCAGGCCATGGAGACGTCTGGGGAGGAATATTCTGGGCGGGGAACAGCCGTGCAAAAGCCCGAGGCAGGAGCTGGTGTGTGGGAGCCGCTGAGCGGGGCCCGGGGGAGGGACACGCAGGAAGTGGATTCTGGGAAGATGCTCTGGCTGTGAGAATGCGCGGAAGCAGACAGAGCAGGGCTGGGTGGTGGGAGCCTGGGCGGTGGGGAGCGGGGGCCAGACCCCCCAGCCAGGGCCCTCCCACCTGTGCCTGGATGCCCTTCCTTCATCCGGTGTTTGAACCCCTGGTTCTCCTTCATGGCCCTTCCCAGCCTCCTCCGCGGGCCCCGTTAGGACGCCTGGCACGGCGTTTCCCGCGAGTCATTGGTATCTCTGGCTCCTCTGCCGACGACGTTGGGCTAGTGGTGGACAGGGGCTGGGCCACACCAATCCCTGGGCTGCAGGGCCCAGCAGGAGGCAACAGACAGAGTGGGGGAGGAGGGACAGGCCCACCCTGGCTCCTGCCTGGACTTGGCCTTGCTCTACCCCTCCCCCCCTGCTCCCACGCCAGGTCTAGATTCCACTCTTCTCAGTCCACCCCTTCACCCCCATCCAGCGGCCTGCCCCAGGGGGGAACAGGGGGAAGGGGGACACCTCTGAGCATACGCATCATCTTGGGGGGCGGGGTTGGTATCTTGCAGTTGAGTCCCCAACACCCACCCCCACCCCTGCCTCCCAGGTCCCTGAAGAAGTCTGGCAACGTCTGGCTGAAAGCTTACCTCCAGCAGTGAAGGTGGCACCCAGGGCTCCACCACAGCCAGCTCAGGCAGGCTCCACCCGCCTCCTCCCGGTCCTGCCATCTTCCCCTCCACCCTCTTGCCACCCTAAGGCCACAGCTCTGGGCCCAACAGGACAGGGGCGAGGGGGATGGGACGTGAAGCCACAAGGTGAGCGTGACGCGTTTTCCTGGAGCGAAAATTTAGGCAGACTGTTATTTTTATATAAAGACAAACCCAGATCTATGATGGAATAAAGTATTGAACTTGCATGAATTTTGGAGCTGGATTCTGCCAAGATCCCCAAGAGGAGTTGAGGGCCATCGGGGTGTTGGGGGCGGGAGGATGGGGGGATGGTGCTTTCGGAGTTTCCCTCTGCATTGGGCTTACATGGCCTAAGGGCCTGGTTCCTTCCTGTCCTTCACCCACTCACCAGCAACCTTGGGGGGTCACACGGGCTCCCCTCACTTTACTCCTGGGCACAGTGGGGCAGGGGCTGGTCCAGCGGACAAGGGCCGAGGGCTGAGGGCCACTGTGCAGGTGGCCCCACGCAGGATGGGGAAGCCAGTCCATCCTGGACCGGCACTGCCTCCTCTCAGCCCCCACACAGGTGATGCCGGCTCGCCCGGGCCACACAGGTGATGTGGGCTTCGCTGCCGCTGCTGCAGGGATGGCTGGGCCCCAGAGATGCTGCCGTTTCATCCCTGGAGTCTGAGAGCAGCGTGTGAGCTCACCCCGCTTGCCGTATCCTTAGGCAGCCACTGCCCTTCACTGAGCCTCAGGCTCCTCATCTGAGAAATGGGTGCGGTTGGCCGTGGGCCTGGGGTGTTCTTAGAGGTGTGGAGGGCTTAGAGTTGCCTTTTGGAGCTTCCTGAAGGTGGGAGGGAGGGAGAGCTGGGCCGCTGGCCCCCTGCAAGCCCAGTCCCCACGCACCGCAGCAGCTCCAAGCTGAGGTGAAGGTTCCTTTTGTGTGTTTTCATTTTTTTAAATATATTTTTATTGATTTCAGAGAGGGAGAGAGAGATAGAAACATTAATAATGACAGAGTCATAGATCAGCTGCCTCCTGCATGCCCCCCACTGGGGATCGAGCCTGCCCGCAACCCGGGCATGTCCCCTTGACCGGAGTCCAACCTGGGACCCCTGACAGCAGGCCGACACTCTATCCACGGAGCCAAACTGGCCAGGGCTGAAGGCTCCATTTGAAGAATGTCAGCCATTTTAAAAATATTAAAATGCTGAGCTAGAATATCGGAGGGCCTTTGTGGGGTGGGGGCCGGAGTCTCCCCACCGGCTGCAGGCCTGTCCCCCACTTTAGAGGGCCCCCACCGCCCTGGACTGGGCTCCCTCAAGAAGCAGAAGGGGCACAATACTTCAGTCCCTGCTCCGTCCTCCCTGGGGTCACTGAGCCCCACCCTGGTCCGTCCCACAGGGTCCCCTCTGATCTGGAGTCAGGACTCAAGGCTGTGTGACCTTGGGGAAGTTATTCAGCCTCTCTGAGGCTAGTATGACTTCCTGGGCTGGTGGAAGATAAAAGATGTTGTGCAAGGCTCTTGGCAGAGGGCCCAGCAATGAGCTGAGAAGTTTGTTTACAAGTTTTGTGCCTGCGATTCAGCGCCTTGGGGCCACCGCGTACTCTGAGGAGGGACACTTCCCTGTTTACTCCTTGAAAGGCATTCTGCCTTGAGGGCAAATTCCTTCCGTCTAGGCCAGGCCCACACTCAGGGCCCTGCATAGGCCGTTTCTTCTGCCTGGAGTCCCCTTCCTGCGGGGAACCCCTGGGAACCCTGCTGGCTCCTGGGGCCAAGGGTGCCTGTGGATGGCATGCCCTCTGCCCCCTGCCTGGGCAGACGGGCCAGGGCAGACGGGCCAGTACGTTTCCTGCGGTGGCTCTGATGCCTTTATCAGGGAGCTATTCACACCCGGGCCTGGCTGGCGTGGCTCAGTTGGTTGTGCACCGGAAGGTTGCCGGCTTGATGCCGGTCAGGGCACACGCCTGGGTTGTGGGTTCGATCCCCAGTGAGGAGTGTGCAGGAGGCTAGCCCATTGATGTTTCGCTATCACATCGATGTCCTCTCTCTCTCCCTTCCTCTCTCCCTAAAAATCAATAAAGGAAATCTTTAAAAAAATAAACAAGCAGTCCGAACCGGTTTGGCTCAGTGGATAGCGGTCAGGGCACACGCCTGGGTTGTGGGTTCGATCCCCAGTGAGGAGTGTGCAGGAGGCTAGCCCATTGATGTTTCGCTATCACATCGATGTCCTCTCTCTCTCCCTTCCTCTCTCCCTAAAAATCAATAAAGGAAATCTTTAAAAAAATAAACAAGCAGTGGTACTTAAAAACAGGCAGCGCGTCCTCACCCAGCGCGGACGCTGAGCCTGCAGCGCCACCCAGGGGCGCCCGGAGTAACTGCACCATCGTCGGGCAGGCCATGCTCCCTGCTGCCCCTGGTGGTAGCCATGGGGAGTGCGCCCTCAGCACGTTGGTAGTTGCCTAGGAACTCGTTTACAGGTCCCTGGGGAAGCCCTCCCCCCTCCCCCCTCCCCGCCCTGCAGATCCCTCCTTATGGCCTGGGACCGGTCATCGGTCATCGGTCATCCCTGCCCTCCGCCCACTGTTCCCCATGCTACAGCCCCTGGGGACAGGCACCGCCCTTCTTGTGAGCGGAGCGCTCCCTTCTCTGAGGTTTCTTAGGCAGCCGCGGAGCAAGAACTGGGGGGGCATGTGCGGGGTTTGTGAAAGAGGGACCGAGGGTCCTGGGGGGGGTCCTCTAAGGAACGCCGTGTCCCTGCACAGAGCCTTGAGCCCCGAAGAGACGCAAAACTACTGAGGGAAGCTGTGGCCCTGAGTCCCCTGTGGGCTGCCCCGGGCGGGTGGTGGCAAAGGAGTCACAGAACCGGTCCCTGGGTCCCTGCCCGTCGTGTCCCGAGGGGCTGGTGGGGGTGACAAGCTCTGTGACGGACAGGTCCTGGCTCTCCCTGGTCTTCCCCGCACCCTCCCCCACACATGTCGGGGGGCACTGGGCTGCCCAGATCCTCTGGGCCTGTCACTAACCCTCCAGGACACTTGCTCCTAAATGCCTTCAAAATTGCAGCATTCGTGCCCTGCCGGCGTGGCTCAGTGGTTGAGCGTCAACCCCTGAACCAGGAGGTCAGGGTTCGATCCTTGGTCGGGGCACACACCTGGGTTGTGGGCTGGATCCTGGATCCCTGGTGGGGTCGTGGAGGAGGCAGCGGGTGGATGATTCTCTCTCATCATTGATGTTTCTAGCTCCCTCTCCTTCTCCCTTCCCCTATCTGAAATCAATTTAAAATGGCTCAGTGGTTGAGCGTCAACCCCTGAACCAGGAGGTCAGGGTTCGATCCTTGGTCGGGGCACACACCTGGGTTGTGGGCTGGATCCTGGATCCCTGGTGGGGTCGTGGAGGAGGCAGCGGGTGGATGATTCTCTCTCATCATTGATGTTTCTAGCTCCCTCTCCTTCTCCCTTCCCCCATCTGAAATCAATTTAAAAATTGATTAATCAATTAACTAATTAAAAATTTAGTTAATCAATTAACTAATTAAAAATAATTTTAAGAAGAAACATTCATAATGGCGGAGGACAAGCATGCTAGGGGGCCACCTGCTCTGCTTATGTGCGGCCAGATTGGTTAGAAACAAGGCCCCTCCCCCAAAAACATCGACGACAAAAAGAAACGAAGTCCAGCCACAAGAGCACCGAGTCCCTGACCGGCCGCCTCCCCTCCGGCCTCCATGTCCTCATAGATGGTTGCAAGGCCTCCGGGACCCCCAGCTTCTCACTTCCTGTCCGGAGGGGCGGGCCTTGACGGGGGAGGTGCACCTGGGACAGCTGAGGGGCCTGGATTGGCCCAAGGCTCTGTCACCTGAGCATGGCCGGTCACTCCTGAGGGCAGCCCTTCTGTCCTGCCCCTTCCCAGAGGCCTCCTCTGAGTGTCCCGCTGACGCCCGAGGAACTGGCCAGGCCACTGGCCGCCTCGGGGGTGCCAGGTCCACACGCAGCCCGGGCTGCTCTGCCAGCCCCTCCTCTGCGCCTGGCACCCTGCCCGTGCGCCCCCCCCCCAAGTGATGCCCTTTCATGGGGGTAGCCACCTCAGTTCACTGTGGGTGAGCTCTTGCCTCCTCCAGGCTCCACGCCGTCTGGCCAGCCCCTGGGCCTCCTGGGAGAGCTGACATTTGACGGGGTGAGGGGGTGAGTCTTGGGCTGGGAAACAGCCTTTCCCTTGTGGAAAGCGAAGGAGGAGGTCAGCCAAGCGCTGGGTCCCGGCCTCCGGAGGATGGCAGCTCCAGGTCTTGGGCTCCCTGGGGGCCTTGCGTGTTAAGGTGGCACAACTTCGACGGGGGTTGGGGGTCAGAAACCCACGATCCTGGGCGCCCACAATGTTCACCAAGAGCCTCAGGGAAGTACGGGGACAGCAGGGATGGGCGTCCCCAGCTTCTTGACCCAAGGGCAAGGCTGGGGGAAGAAGTCACAGATCCACATGCCCATCGACCCGAGCTGAGAGCCACCTGGTGCCCTCCCAGCCGTGGCGTCCCCCTAGCCTGTCAGTCCCCCCTGGATCCGTGGTTGAGACGACATCCCTGGAGCCGTAGCCCAGAGGGTCAAGGAGGGCAAAGGACTTGCCCAAAGCCACTTGGTGAGGCGGGGCGGTCCCTGCCCCCAGCTCAGGCTGCTTCTGCTCCTGGGTCCGACCTGAGCCCTGCACCCACTGGGGAACCACACATGCCCTCCCCAGTCACCTGGCGGACCCTGCCGGCTAGACTGAGGTCACAGGCCACACAAGCGGGGGACGAGGGTCTACTGTGGAGATGGGGGGCAGGCCAGGCCAGGTGGGGCACCCCTCGGTGGACGACCCTGGCTCTCTGGCCCTTCCCTGGCTTGTCCAGCTGGACTTGCCCCTGAGCCAGCCCAGAGGCAGGTGGTCGTGGAGCAGCGAGGGGGCCAGCGGGGCCCAGC